GATCGGATCGCTGCTCCGCATCATCTTAGCGATCCAATCGCGAAGTAAGACCGCTTTCTTATATAATGTGGGAGAAGGGGAGCTCTTTGATTCTTCGAGACCGTTTTGCAGTCGCGAAGAAAAACACGGGTAGATGACTTTAAGAAGGTCACAAGTTCGAGAAAAGTTAATTTGAGAGAACCAGACTGTTGAAAGTAAGGATTGGAAGGTGTACTTGGATGAAATCGGCTTAACACTCCTGCATATATAAAGTTCCAACTGAGCCCTCCGTGATTTGATAAGGTGCATATCATTAGTTACATATAATAGTAACCCATATCTCTACTATGTTTGTCTGACCGTCTGTTTTCCAGAATTCGGTTTTGCTATTTGAAGAGGTCGGAACAGGTATGGGATGGGTGGGGCATGGGACACGATGTACAGAGCCCACATAGGTAATGCTGAGCCCCGCCCACGGTGTGAGAAGTATTTGTCGGAAGTGAGCTGTACGAAGACGAAAATTCATGGTTCGCTTGCAGGACAGCCCAGAAGCCGAGAAGGAGGGGAGGGGGGTGTAGGGCGCCAACACTGGATAGACGCACGAAATGAAGGTGCTTCAAAAATCCGTAATTCTGCCCCGAGACAGTTTGGTTATCGGAGAAGTCGTTGAAGAAGGGATGTGTATAAGCTGAATTGAGTGTGCCTCTGGTGTGCTGCTATTCCGAAATTCATTATTGAGCTCTAAAGCAGTCCAGGAACCAGGACATGAGGACTAAGGTCAGCAAGGGGTCAGCGGGCGACGTGAGAGATGCATACATGCTGAGGGCGGGGCATGCGCCAAGAAGGGCGTGGCGAAAGTCAAAGCTTTCTCTAAAGAGCGGTAAAAATAGTCAACTGCAGGAGGTCAGCGAGTAAGATGAGAGAGTTCGACTTCGGTAGAGACCTAGGCTGCTGATTATTAGTGATTCAGACTACGGGTTTTGTGCAGAGGAACTACTGTGAACGGTTAGAGGACCCCAAGGTTGAGCGGGTACATTGGAGAAGTTCGAAGTTCACAGAGTGACACCATATCGAATGGAAACCAATAACCAGTCGAGCTCCTTCTGTGACATGGCTGTACCTGGGGGGCGGGCGGCTTATGCTCTTTCCTCAAGTGAGTTGACAAACACCGCGATTAATATTGTTAACAGCTATATGCAGTTACAAAACTATTGTCGCTAAGTGACTCTTCAGGTAAGAAAAAAGCTAAAAAATCATTGGCACCCCGACAGCCCTAGGAGTTCTCTGAACCTGCTTGTTTCATGCCAACATAACGATATGCTGCCGCCATTTACACTAATCATTTCTTTGCGTCATCAAATGCTGATACCATCTACCCATGCCAGTACCAGTGAAAAATCCGAAAACAAGGTATAAAAACTGATCTTGTGACAATAAATAGCCTTCAGATTATGGTGGGAAGGATAACTAGACAGAAGTCAGAACTGCCGCTTATTAAGGCCGCAGTCCATCCGTTACTTGTTGTGAAGCCGCTAGAAGGGGACAGCATAAGTGACTGCAGAACACACTGCTTGAATAAGGAAGGACGCCCGTGAATGGCTTGAGAAGGCCGCGACTGCCTTTGAATATCCCATTTCGATTAGCCGAGTATTCCGCTTCTTCAGTACTTGTGACACGATGAGTAAGAATGATCGGCTGGAATCGGTCGTTCAGCTGACAGAAAGAAGGAGTGCGCAGGCGGAAGGCCGTTTGCCTTATAATATAAGGAGCGCCGGCGCCATCCAGCGATCCCATATATAATAATAAATAGTAGCACAGAATAAATATTATATAAGCTTAGAGTTTTTAATGCTAATGATGCGTTACTACCCGACTGTCGAAATTCTGGCTAATCGAATTTTTTCCCGGAGAGAGATTTGGTTAGTTTTGAGACCAAGGATAGTTCGACCTCATGAACATGAATATCACTAAACGGATGTGATATTCTTATTCAGGGGGGCACAATATTTGAGCACAGAGTTTCGGCCGAATGCACCCGCTCAGAAAAAAATTCGGTTGAAGTCTGGGCTAAATTTCGGAGGCGGGGCAGAAAGGGTAAATAGTTTTTGTGTGGATGTGTGTGTGTGGGGGGGGGGGGGGGGGGGGGGGGGGGGGGGGGGGGGGGGGGGGGGGGGGGGGGGGGGGGGGGGGGGGGGGGGGGGGGGGGGGGGGAGAGAGAGAGAGAGAGAGAGAGAGCAAGCGCTCTTTTAGTCATAAGATCAAGCTGAGAGCAGTTTGTCAATGGGAGGAAAGAATACCTTACTTGAGATGAAACAGTGACCCCTGGATTCTCGAGGAGGCATTTCACCACACCAAGATGACCACCATGACATGCCCAGTACAAGCTGTAGAACCTGATTTGTCGAGGCTATTTACCGATACCTGTATGCATAATATATTCAGATATTGCCAAGGCATGAAAGTCAACTACGACGAAAGCAATTCGAATCCGGGTTCACCTGGTTAGCTATACAATCCTTGAGGAAGATAACATTACCCCGTCGAGCTGCTTCGTGTAACGGATTCGGCAAAGTCTTCAAACATTTCGTTACAATGAATATGAGCAATCTTGCAATTTGTGACCAGGTAGGAATTCAAGGCCTGAGAAAAGAACAGAAATAGGAGCTCGAGTACGGTATTGTGCGGGATTATACGGAAATTCATGGACCAAGGATATACCATAAGTGCAGTACTGTTTCAACCCCAGCCCACTGAATGATGCCGTGCCTAAGATCTCGAGAATGATGCCGTGCCTAGATCTCGAGAATAATGGGTTGGTAATTTTTAAAAGAGCTTCTAATGTGTGACTGTTCTGTCATTCAAAGGCACATTTAGCCTCAGTTTGTAGAGGCAACCGGTAATATGAGATTCATGGATGGCGGTCGGCAACATGCAGGTTGTTTGCGGCAAAAGGTAGCGCACAATACGGGTGGTGGTTGGGGATACAGAGGGGGGGGGGCATTAGTCATTGCCACAGACTACTTACCTGGTCTGCCTCCAAGCGCACTCATAGCAGTAGAGAAAGCATGTTTTATGATCAACAATCTAGAGTTCACCGGATGCTTCGAGGTTTTCTCTAAATCCTTGGAGTTTAAGGGTTCAAACCTTTTTTCACGGACCTTTCGTCATAGAGACCATCTCAAAACCCAAAACCGCCGCCTTCAAACGAAGTAGCAGCCACGCTAGCATCTGAGGGGTCTGGGGTGTATATGAAATCGCGGAATGTGCCTGTAAAGAATGTAATGTAAGCCGCCTGCGAATGAGACGCGGCATGCGGTTGTAAATTTCTTCGAACATGCTGTGAAAGACGTCTGGGCGCTTCTCCAGTATTTCGGAGCCTCAACCCACTATTGTTATTCTATTTCATCATAAGCAGCCAGGGTATGCTTTACCCATACACGCAGCCTAGATCTCCTCTCCTAGGCTTAGCCATAAATCCTCTCACTCCTAGCTTACATGGAAACCACAGCACGATACTAAAAACAGCATTTCACGGCAAAATCCTATGCAAAAGTGGTATTGCCGTAACTCGACGAACTACTGCTGGTGTTTTGGAGTAGGTCTACGCCTGCAGACCCCCCCCCCCGAATAATAATGCACAAGTTGGAATTCACAAATGTGTGTAACAATTAAACTAGTTTTGCAACAGTATCAGGGTAAAGTGAGAACATTTGTCCCTTCAGAAACCACATAAATTATCCAAAAGAGCTAAAAGCGTAAAAACCGACCGTAATTAGCCGGAACGAGACCCTTTTTGCCGCCACATGATGCCGGCAGCCAATCGTCATTTGGTCCACTATCGCTCACATACAGCAGATCTCCTTCCACAAAACTCATCTCTTGGTCCTGAATTTGAATTTCACGAGTTCTGGACCACCTATGCACGACTTTTCAATCACACATTGCCCTTAAGCCCATTTAAGAAACACTCCATTGAAAAAACATTGTGAAAACAAAAAACAAGTGAATGAGGGAGGAACCCAGCGGCGTATTACGCAAATACGGGCTTTTGGATTTTTCAGTAGTCGACGAAAAGTGTTAAATACTTCTGGTTGAGAAATACAACACAAATCTATTTGCCAAAACCCCTGACATTTTTTTTGTCATTTTCAATTAGTTTATCTTTTATTTCCCAGAATTTACTTCGTGCCTTTAATCCTTCTGCTCTATGATAATACTTACCGTTCTAGCTTCATAATCGTAGAGAGCTCGATAAACCCTGACCCGTCCAGGTTTTGGTGCTGGTCTCGGAGGTGCTGCAGTCATCAGTGCTGGCGCGCGAACTGAGACTTGACGTTATTCATTCGAATCGATCGATTTGACGAGTTCTTCGGGCCAAATACGACTCAGCCGTGCCAGGTGAGTCATACTCCTGAGGTAGATCTGGAATCTTAGAAAGTATGTTTATTTGGGAGGAAAGTAGTCAAAGTTGGTTTTTTCTGGTTTCTTGACCGTGATTTTGAAGGTCATGCGGGAACTTTCTGTTTTTATTCTTATGGACTGCAGTTATACCTCCATTACTTTACTGGCAACTTCCTATGTAAACAGTAAATAGGAGTGGCATTTCATAAAAACAGCTTGGGAGAAATACTGCAGAAAAACCAGGAGAAAGACCTCCAGAAAGAGGAAGCAAATCTTGGAGATGTCATAGACTGCTCTTTCTTCTTTAACTACTCGGTCAATTCACCTAGTTGAAAGTGTCTAAAAACTGTTAGTTTTTCAGAAATGGAACAAGAAGATGATGAACCGTCCGAAGATGAGGAATTCCTGCGTACGGCTAAGAAAATTATCGAAGATTTTGGAAACGGCGTGGAGGTAAGTTTATTAGTACCATGGTACCATGGCAAACACGTTATTGATCCATCCAAAAACGTCATTGCCATAGAACGGGCGGATTATGAAACCGACGGTCCCGAAATTGAAGGGAGAACACGACTCAATAGCGTTTAGTTTTTCATCATGCTCCGGGCGAAAGGGCATTTTACGTAAACCACTTGAAAATTGGTGGTCGTTTTTCGACGTCAGTAAAAAATGGCCTCTCAATCGATTAGCTCCTAGCAGAGATGAGCTGTCGCAGATTTCCAATATTTCCAACTACACTGCATTTTTGCTTTTGGATATACACCCTTGTTTTCTGCGGATATTGGGCGCGTTATGGAGGCTGGGATTGGCAAGTTTTTTATCAGTTGTTTTCGCTGCCCTTTCTTCAACAACTGGAGGAGAACGAGGTGGCGCTGCGCCAAATCCACTTCTACCCGGGATCCGCTGCAAACAAGAGCATATACTTATGAAGACAGATGTGCTTTCATTCTGCACAGTTGCGATCCGTGACCTCCCTCATCTTCTAGATCGTCTTCCTCTTCTCTCGTCCTTTGCGTCTGCTCTCTCCGGCGTACCAGTGTCTCGCCTCTTCGAATACCCGTCGAAACCTGGTATCTTATTTAGGGTGTCTTCGATTGCCAGCAATTTCTTCACTATAGCAGTTAGCATGTATAAATCCAAAAGTGAGTCCCAAAGCTTGCGAACGTAATATCTGAATGTGTCATTAAGGAGGAATAATGTTTAAAGAAATAGCCCGTAATTAGTCTCTGCGCATGTGGATATGCTCTCAAGAGAAATCAAAATCTTATCTCTGAAGCAGAAAACTTGAGAAGGATGTAATTGCAAGACGTTTAGGTTTCACATCGTGTGCATCGCTTGAAGAGACCAGCGCATTCATACGATAAGGATGCCACGGGCGGAATCTACGAAGTCCTTGAGGTATGTGAATAATTTTTGTCTATTTTTTTTCACAAACCCCATCAAATGCACTTCGATTTCTTTTCTACTTTGCAACCGCAATGTATTCAGCCTTTAGAGGCGCATTCCACGCTGTTCGTATGGGCGGGGCCACTTAGACCATTGCGCTTTCCGCTTTTTCTTCTTGTCATCAGGAAAGAAGGAGCGCATTGGAGGAGCACACTCGTGCAAGCCACTCTCCCCATGCAATCAACGCGGAATGTGCATTCAAATGAGTTGTCATATGCTTCTGTTAGAAAACTGTTTTTGGCTCGAATAAGCAATTGATCAGAAATTCGGAAAAGCGTGCGATAAGAGAATAATCCTCATTTCGGGGTCGCTTACTACAAGATAGGTCCGTCTCCCCTCACCGCCCTGGTATGTAAGGTTTTATGCATTGTTCGTTGTAGCTATTATATGTTTGAAATTGTAATTTAAGGCCTGACGAAGGCATTATATGCCGAAAGCTTGCCAATAAAGTTGTTAAACAAGTCAAGAGCTTCAAGCACACTGTTCAAGAACAGATTAACTGTCATACATTATTGAAGATGATTGCCTCGCTTGACAAATCGACAAGATCACCGTCTGCCTCACCTCCACCTTCATCGTCACCATTGAAGACTAACGAGAACCCAAGTTTTAGTGAGTTGGTTACAGCCGTTGTCTTACACGGTTTTTACTTACCTTCAGGTTTCCAGGCCAGGTTCCCTCATTTACATGTCTCCCTATACTAACTTCACTGGTCACTCTTTGAAAGATACAATACTTTTGTCACTTTCTATCACCATCATTGCGGAATCCCTTATATAACTGATCGTTCCGAGATTTCTTTGAGCTTGAGTGTCTTTCACGAAATCGGGTAGCGCAAATTCAGAGCCAGACGCCTATGCTGCTCTTTGTCGGTCGTTAGTAGGCTTGCTACGAAACCACTAATAGTACAGTGTTATCATACAAGCATGACATTACCGTTGTGCGCTTGTACACTCCGCACGGCAGAGACGGGGAGGGTGTGGCTACATAATTCATTTAACCCTCCTGTAGTATACGTTTTTCGTAGGATCATAATGTTTGTGACAACTGTTTGTCAACTGTCGTCTTCTCTTGTGCCGGATAAGTCATAGCTACAACTGTTCGAAAACTGGCGACGCGTGAGGCAATCGTACTTTGCCGCTTCGCCGCGCGCGGCGATGGTTGCGGCGTTTTCTTAATTCTTGTTAAGCTGTCAACGAAAGCACCGGATTTCACGTGGGCTACGAAACTGTGGACATTCATGACTATTTTCGGTTCTGCATTGCCTGTTGTCGCCATCTACGATCTGAGACCAATGTGGGCGCGACGTCGCACGCGCCGCCCATCAGCGCGGTGCATTACGATTCTCTTGTCACATATCCGTCCCAAAGCGACAGAATCCACCAAAAGCGTACCTGCCATCTCTTTCAAATGAAGTACTAGACCACGCCCCTGCGAGATCAAAACAACGCGTTACTGCCGTTTATCTTTCATCTTCTCGTTCTTTTCTTTCCTAGTCGTGTAGACTTTTGGCCAAACCCGAAGTTTTTCGTTTTAGCTAGTGCACTGCTCGTAATCAACAGCAGAACGGGGAAACGTACTTGTGACAGTTATGAAGTTCGTTTTACAGGTCTTGACCAACGGAATGGGTCAGCCAAGAAGAGGTTGTGCTTTAGTCCTGCTATGCAAGTAGGCGAAAGTGGCAGCAATGAGGTGAGAACGTAGTTCGATCCCGTTTTTCTATTTTCCTCATTTGAATACACAGTACTAAGCTGCCAAGTATACCTCTGCAGATGCGTTGGGCGCCATTTGTGCCTAAATTGGACTTGGACTTCACAGCGCCCTCATCCGTCAATCACTCGCCACAACCAGGCCCTCTAGTTCCCGATGAAGCAGAACATCGTCCAATTCTAAGGACACGGTGCCGTCAATGTCACTCACGCGGAAGTCCTTTGCATGCCGCTGATTTTTTATACTTAATCATTTTCGGTTTTATAACCTCAGTAATAGTATATTATCTTTACTTGCCTCCTCTCCATAAGGGACCGGTATTTTGATCTCACTGATTGACTCTAATCGTGTAAGTTCCTTCATTAAAAGTAGTTTGGCCCTGCTAGCATTGACCATGAGGGTGGGACGTTGGCTCCAAGTAGCGACCAGGGAAATGAAAGAGTCGTTGCAATTGGTGTCACGTACGCGACATTCGCTCCAGTTTGATTCAACACGGAAATGCCGTACATTGTTGAGCAGACTAAATAGGAAATACCGTGCTGAAGTCTTATACCCATTAGAAACCCAGTGCTAATGTGAATTGCGGAACTTGACTGATATGAAGCCGTGCAAGCGACAGGTATACATTGCTGGTTGGCACCATTTGTCGGTACCCGTTGTACTCACGACAGCCTCTCTTCCGAGGATAACAGCACGTCTTACGGCTCGGCAGGTCATTTACCCTTCATTTTCTTCAGGTTATGCAAAATTCATATTGAAACCGAACTCTTTCTTCTTGCTAGTCATATTTGTGTGTTTTAAATTAGCTTTTTTTTACAGTCGTTGTGGATGATGGGATCCGTCAAGCGGGAAGGGTTTAACGAGGCGCCACCCCGTTTCTTTTCTTTAGACAAGCGACAAGACTATCATATCGTTCGTATCAGACGTTTCCCACCAATTGTTATCGGTCCTGTTTCAACAAGGGGCGGAAAACGGGCTTTCGCTGCGCCAAAACTAGACGCACTAACACGCCCCATCATCCGCAGCGAACACGAGTGTACAATGCCATTGCCATTGCCATATCTGGAATAGTTTAACAAGCTTATGGAGGTTTCCCCAGGTTTTCATTATATTACCTCAACGCAACTATCCAGCTATCGCTTCGGTAGCTGTAAGTTTGAGCATAATCTTGGAAGGTTCAAATTAAAATTTCCATGTAGAACGTTTTACCGCTTCAGCTAGGGTGCTTGTTTCGGAGCCCAGAAAAAATTACGCGGCTCACTGTTGTCATTCTAAAGTCATCAAGTTATTCTATAGCTCTGATTTGTCCTAGTGTTTAATGAACTTCTGACCATGAGAGACGTTAATTTCCTCATTTCTGATGCCTGAAGAGTATTCCTAAATTGGATTTAAATGATTCCACAAGCTTTATTGTGTTGATATCTGCGCCTTGTGCAAAGTTAATAAATAACTCTTTAAAGGACAAGCGTTCGGCGTTGATCAATCCTCCTTTGGTATGAACCACGCATTCTCTCGCTTCAAACTATAGTAGGTTTCGAATCTTGTTCGCTGCGGATGATGGGGCGTGAATGGTGGATGGACTTGGTGCAGCGCCAGCCCGTTTCTTGTTTTCATATCATTCGCATCAGTCGTTTTGGGCGCAGTTTGTCGACGGGGGGGGCATTCTGCTTTCCATAGATGTGCCGACCCATCTAGGTAGCCTTTTCTCGAGTTGACACGTTTTAGGATGGTGGCTATCTTGCACCAGCTTCACAAGGGTTCACAAGTTTTACCAGGGTGAGATTTGTAAACCGGAACTAGGGAAGCAATGGTAGTACAAAATGCCCCCCCCCCCCCCCCTCCCCCTCCCCCCTCCCCCCCCCCGCCGACAAACAGCGCCGTCGTTTTGCACCAATTGTTGTCACTTACCCACTTCAATAACTAGTAGAGAACAAATTGGACCCAGCTACACTGCCACGTCCCGTTATTCGCCGCGAACAAGACATAACGGATCACCCTTTTTCCATCCAGATGAGTACGATACAGCTACTTGCGATGAAACCGGGAACTGCAAGTCTCGGCTGGCCTGGGCGGCAGTCGGCCCAAGATGGGACGGTGCAGGTAAGATAGCTGGCACCCCTTGGCGCTAGCCCACACAACCACCCAAAACGTAAATATCACTTATTTCTTCCACAAACTTGTCGCTTATTGCAATTAACTTGAAGAATCAATCGCCCTTTCCGTTAGATTTGTTACCGTTACCTGCTACCCCTCACGTGGTGCGAAATTTTCGTAGCGTGCACCTCCCGTTGAAACACGGCGCGCGCACTGCGGGTGTGTCTCCCTAGTTTCATCTGTATACTCGTTCGTGACCTTCACCCATTTTCCCTAAACTTTCTAGAACCGATTTGTGAACTTTTGTTTCCTGCACCACTCGCACCGCCTTCAGTGGGCGGGGCGTGCTCCGCACACCTTCACTCGCACGCCACTGCCGTACGAACTTGACCCAATCTCCTCGAATGTTTCTTCAGGGCGTACCGAATTTCGTTACAGACAGACACACAAAATTGTTTATATACGGTAGGATTCTGTATCCCGAAAGTGTGAGACCATGTCGCCAAGGTATTAAATGTAGCAAACTGACAATTAGCCTTCAGGCACTAATAAAAAAATAAGTAATATCCTATTCGATCGAATTTTTCGAATTTTCTAGTAAAGCCTGTAGAATGAGATCTGGAACATCCATTGTTTGATCCTCAACAAGCACTATATCGAAGCCATCCAGATAGGATTCCAGGAGATCATCAACCTAGAAGAAAATCAATAGTTCAAGAGGAAACATCATGAGAATCGACTCCTTTTCTTACCCTACTATTCAGAAATCCAATCTTGAGCACCGTTCCGCTATGAGCCACACCTACATCCATATGCAAATCACCAAGGCTATCACCAAGCAGTAATATGTTGCCACTAAAAGTTTTGTGTATATTTCAAACTGTATAAAACAGAGGACAAAGGTAGTTGTGTGAAGGAATCAAGAGGATGGCACGACTGCGAAACGTTATGTCTATTTACATGCGCCCTCTCACCGAGTCCATTCGACTAGATTGGAGCAAGGCGATTTTTCCTACTCCGCGGGAGCTGTGCTTCTTGTATTTTGCAGGAAGTACGCCGTGAATGACGGCTTCTACAGACCCTACCTCGGAGAACAGATCATTATCCGGCAACTAGATTATACGCTCTGCTCACGACATTGTTAGCACCAAACATCGAGCAAGCGGAGCGAATTCTAACTGATTTCGACTGCACGAGAGGAAAATTGGTTTGCTGTTGAATCTGACGAGACGATGTTCATGAAGAGCGGACAAATTTCTAATGCCCCATTCTCGCTCAACGGAACATATATGTAGTGCTCTGTGTACCTGGATCGAGAAGTCCACACGAATAACGACTTAGCACCAGAGCTGCGCAGGAAGAAGCGAGCGACTTGGGAAGCTTTCAGGAACGCTTCGTGCCCACCTCCTCAGATTCCGCGGTCGTTCCTGCTTTAACTGCTTCCTTTCCTGTTTCCAGCTTTAACTTACGCCTCGGAGTCTTGGACTCTACGAAAGCAGGATGAGCATGATCAGCGTCATTAAAGTTTCCATGGAAAGAGCGATACAGCATCGTTGTGTGGAACACGTAGGAGATCGTACTTTTCCGTTCGGGAGGGAGGAGGGGTCCTATTTGGTCGTTGTTGAGAGAGAGAGAGAGAGAGAGTGAGAGACGGGGTCGTATGTGCCTTTGAGTGAAATCTGCAGCAATGGGAAAAATTTTTCCCGGTTGTTGATTTTTTGTGATTTTTCCTGTTTCGTGTGTTCTATATACCCCAGCCCCTCTGCTCGACAGCAAAATTTTCTGGGTAGTAAAAGTAGGGAAATTGTCGGGGATTTCCGGAAAAAGTGGAAGAGTGGTAGGAAGATGGGGATAGTTAAGAAATTTTCCCGTTCCACATAAGCTATCCCCAACCCCTGGTCGAAGAAAAATCTTCGGGTGAAATTAGAAAATGTGGGGAATTGGTGGGTAAATGCTGGGAAAGAGGGGGGGGGAGTCGTACTGATACCCTTTGAGGGGGAGGGGAGGGAAGTACCAAGACCCTCACTCGAGCTGGAGGTCGTACTTACACCACCATTTCATACATCACGATGCTGTACCCTGCCGGTGGGCCCGCACGTCATGCGTGCATCAGAGTCATCACGGACTCTATTCCACGGTATTTCAAACGATCCCTACAGGAGGGGGGGGGGCAAAAAAAAGTCACTTCGACCGAGTCACATATCAGCAAAGTTTTCGCAGCCCAGACAGAGGACGTGGATACGAGTACCAGGGCGGAAGATACCCAAGATGTTCCTCGATAAGCAGGAGCTGGCTCTTGCCCATCACCTTCATGCCCATCACCTATCCATGGGTGGCCTGGAGACCAGTACTCTCGATCTGGAAGACCTCCAACATCGAGCAGCTCCGACAACGTCGCTACGGTCTAGGACATCATCTTCACCGCAGTCGCCAAGGCGCGGGTGATGGTATGGACCTGAGACCTGGAATGGAAAGACCGATATTTTCTTCGTGGACCCCGGACTGAAGGTGAGCGCTGGCGGTTACATTGAGCAACTCGTGAAGAATATCCTCCTCACATGTCGTCGCCCGTACCTTCTTGGAAACTTTGTACTGCTACAGGATTGGGTGACACCACGTGGAATCGAAGGGCGTTGGAAAAACTCTCGCCTACTTGGAATGGAAGGACGTTGAGTACCTGAAGAAGATGGAATATCTAAGTAGGTCACCTGACCTAAACCCCCTCAATTACCCGGTTCGGGCGGAGCTCAACAGGGTGGTCTACAGTGGCGGAGAAATCAACGATCTCGCTGAACTCAGGTACCCACTCACGGTCGCGTGGCAGAATCTCTCGATGGCGCTCCTCCAGAAGGCTGTGGCGGAGTATCATGATAGTATTTAATATGCTCTTTAATATGGTGGTAGAAATGTCCGATCAGAATTTATAAAGTGTAACTTATAGCGCCTCGAAAGTCAATGAAGAAAAGTGACTTTTTTTGCCCCCCCCCTCCTGAAGACGATCTCCTGCTCAATGTTGAAGCTTGTCCGTGAAAGGGCTGAACGAATGGTATGAAGTTCGTTGTGTCTCTCGAGCACAGGGAACCCTGGACAACCTAGAACGTTGCAGGGACGGTGACCTGTGAGAGGACACATATCAGCAGACATAAGGAAGCATAGTTGCGCCAACGCATGCCACTCCCCTCCAACTACCTTTGCTCCAGAAAAGTAACAATCACCGGTGCGCTATGTCATCATAGAAAGGAGCATTCTTAGGTATTACAGAAGCATCTTTACAAAAGACGTGAATTAGTGGCTCGGAACAGGCGCTCACCACTCCCTAAAATGACAAAAATGGTATTATATGCAACTTATGTCTCACAGTCTCTGAGCTGGCCTTCGGAGCGTGCGGTTGCGTCGCGGCTTAGCTATCAGATCACTGCGTCGAAAACGGTGCACTCTTGTCTGCTCACTGATGTTAAGCGACGATGAGACCGAACTTCCACAGGCAAGCGCAGAAACTTTGAAAATGGAATGTGAATTTACTTCCTCGTTGAATAACAACATATTCGAAATGATATGGATATTATCCGGAATATAGCCTAGCTGATGTCGTAGAAATATTTCTATAACATTGCCAACGCCAGCGGAAAACAGAAGCAATGGGATAGACGAGCTAGCGAGATGCCTGACAAGGGCGTCAGCTCCATCTCTGAAATCTCATTTTCCGTAGTTGAAAGGACTGCTCAGAGCAGAATGTATACTGACAGCAGCACCTCAATTCAATTTTTGCATTCACAACAAATTGCTCCATATCTTCACGACGAACTCCAAACGATATATATTTTTCGTGAGCTTTCGTCCACCTGAAAAGTGGGAATACAACTGAATAAGAAGGCCATCGAAAGCCTTAATCCCACCATTCTATCATATAAGGCACTTTTTCTTCTTTCGTTAGCCTTGGATCGTATTCTATAGCCAAATATTTAGTGTTCACTGCGCGAATCTGCAATAAATCCTGAAAATGTTGGCAGTATCTAAACTTCAAAGGCGGATCCGCTTGCACTTGATGTGCAGACGCTTCCTTGGACAGGGTTGTCTGGTTTGCATACAGGCTTTGCTCCTTTCCCAGCTCAAAGACGTGATAAAGATGCCTGGTGGTCCTGACGAGGCGAGAGTGAAGGGATAAAAGAGAAGCATCGATGACAGCAACAACTGAGTATTCGCCCGAGCACCCTCTCTCTTCCCCTTATGTTCGTATGTTCCAGGAGAAGTGGATGGATGCATCTGGCTACTAAATCGTAGTATAGAGGCCACTTTACTTTTGAGCCTAAATAGAACGTCGGTTTAGCGTAGAGATTTCGTTGCTCGGACTGTCTTCTCTCGAGCTCACAGTACCCTCGGGCAGGCCCACAGGCAATTCTACCTCTAACAAGGGGACGTTTTCAACTTCCCATGGAACTTTGAATGGAGACCTAGGTACATCGATAGAGTCTCGAATGCTGATTACGAATATGCAGATTAAAAGTGCTACGGGGACCTCCCAGACGAGATCTGGGTGGTCAAAGTTTGCGAAAAGTTAGTTTCGGCTCGTAAGCGCTCCCTCGTAGGTTTGCATCCCGTTGGCGCGAAAGTTTTTGCTTCGCCTCCTATAAGAGCTTTTACTCTAATTTTCAAAATTCCTTCCGAGTTTACGGCTCAGCAGAGCAAGTAGATCAAGTATATGACGTACTCGATCTAGTATGGATTTGGTCACTATCTGCCCTCTCTGAACATATTACCCATCCGACAATTCAGAATTTTGGCGAGAAACTCGTTCATGGGAGATTTTGACCTCCTGAACACGAATATCACATCCTTTGACGAGAAAACGCTTGTAGGCCAACTATGATTCTGGGCAAAACTTCGAACGGTCGGATGGGTAATAAGTTGAGAGGGGGCAGATATGGGTCAAATCCATACTCGATCGAGTACGTCATATACTTGATCTACTTGCTCTGCTGGCCGTAAACTCGGAGGAATTTTGAAAATTAGAGTACAAAGCTCTTATAGGAGGCGAAGCAAAAGTTTCAGCGCCAACAGGATGCGAATGTACGAGCATGTGGCTTTGAAGCGAGACCGTCACTAGGCCACGGTGGCACTGCCCAACTATCGATCAGCAGCGCTTACGAGCCAAAACTGAATTTCGCAAACTTTGACCACCCAGATCTCGTCTGGGAGGTCCCGTAGCACTTTTAATCTGCATATTCGTAATCAGCATTCGAGGCTCTATCGATACCTAGGTCTCCATTCAAAGTTCCATGGGAAGTTCAAACCATTGCCTTGTAGGAACAACCTTCGACAGAAATCTGGCCCAATTTTCGAATTGTGTTATCAATGGTATTATGATCTCAATATTTTTTGAATGGTCTTTATTCTAAGTGGACAAAAGGAATTCAGAGAAACAAATCGCGATACAATATATTTATAGGTGGTGGGCCGGTACGAATTATAGTCTAGTTCACTGCGAACGAAGGGGCGTGTCAGGCGAGTTTGGGACGAGCCAAAACCCATTATCCACCGGCTGTTGAAGAGAGCAAGTGATGCGACTGTATCATATCGCTTGTATCACTCGTTCTTTACGCTGTTCTGGCTTAGCCACTTCAACAGCTGGCAAAAAACGGGTATGGCGCCGTGGCCCACTTAACTGTCTGAAAAACCCCTTTATCCGCAGCGAACTAGAGTATACGTTGTCAACCTCCTCATCTCGCCCTGCCGACATCCTTGTGCAAACCGTGCGTTCGGACTGAGAAAAACAAAAGAAATGAGGCAACAAACCTCTTCTTCAAGTTCTGGGTGGAGAGCATATAGAAGTTGATTAAGCACATTATGGCTGCTAAAACAAGGCATTCCATCGTGATCAACAGAACGCGTCAAGGTGAAGTCAAAGTCAGAGATGACCTTAACATAAAAACATCATACATTTCGTTTTCTCACAGAAAACATCTCAGAACGGGACTAAAACTTACCCCTAACTGGTCGTTACCTCCTTTCAACATTTCTGTGAGTTTCTTCTTCACAAC